CATTTCCAAAGAAGAACTGACAGAAAACTGGAAATTTAGAGCAATTACTAAAAATATTGAACAAAATCAAAGCTGATTTTAGTTTGCATTTTGCAAAGCTCTATGGTGATTAAGAACATGAATGAACCAAGGAGTCAGGCTCTTCTGGCTACAAGCTCTTGCTCTGTCTTTTAATAGCTATGCAATTCTGGGCAGTTAACCAGTTTAGCCTCAGTTTCCTAAATGATTTAATATACACAGCTATGATAAAGTTTAATGTATTAATTAGTTACAGTAAGAGATTAATAGCCCTAGCTCGTTTGGCTCAGTGGATAGAACCTCGGCCTGCGGACTGAAGGGTTGGATTCCAGTCAAGGGCACATGCCCAGGTTGCAGGCTTGATCCCCAGTAGGGGGTGTGCAGGAGGCAGCCAATGAATGATTCTCTCTAATTATTGATGTTTCTATCTCTCTCCCCCTCTCTCTTCCTTTCTGAAATCAATATATATATATATATATATATATATATATATATAGAGAGAGAGAGAGAGAGAGAGAGAGAGAGAGAGAGAGGAACAACAACTAATAATAAAATTGAATAATTTTAATAATATACTCTAATAAAGTTGTGTGGTTTTCTGTCTCAAAATATCTTACTTTAACCATCCTTTACATGGTCTGATGTCACTTGCTGAAGTCTTTATATCAGGGGGTGGGAACTACTGGCCCACAGGCTGTAGAAGGCCTGAGAAATCATTTGGTCAAGGCATTAGGGGTGAGTTACTTAAATGTTCGACCAAATATAGCAGGCTATTTTTTGAGTTGATAATTTTGTATGGCCCTCGAATGATGTTACAAATATCCAAATGGCCCTTGGCAGAAAAAAAAGGTGTCCTACCTCTGCCTTATAGGCTCAGTGCTTTCTGCCACAACACATACCATCAATCAGAACACGTTTTCTGTTCATGTCTTCCACTCACACATGTAATGCCTTTTCCATTTGAACTAAGGCACTTATCACGCACTGTGGCCATAGCTTTTGCAGACTGAGGTGTGACAGTAAAGCTAGCACTAATTTCTTTTTCCTTCTCCACAATTTCATGGGTAGATTTTTTTTTCTTACCACCCATAGTAACCTCAGCATACATTTTTCCTTTCTTTCATTGTTATGTCCAGAACTTACACCTTTTCACTTATAGGAACCACTTTCAGGCTTCTCTTTGGCATAATCAATTGCCAGCATCACTAATCTTGAGCTTTGGGGACATTATTAAGTAAAATAAGGGTGGCAAACATAAGCACTGCCATACCATGAGGGTCCACCTGATAACTAAGAGAGCTGCTGAGTGACAGGCAGGCTCCCGTGGGGTAATTCACGTGGCCACAATTTACGTGGCTGCAATTCACGTGGCTGCAATTCACACTGAGTGGGAGAGGGTGCAGAGGGTGCGAGATTTCATCATGCTACTCAGAACAGCCTGCAATTTAAAACTTAATAACTGTTTATTTCTGAAAATTTCCATTTCATATTTTTGGACCTTGGTTGACAGAGGATAATTGAAACTGGGGGAAGCAAAACTGCAGATAAACGGGGGCCTGCTGTACTTAACCCTGTGTTCAATTTCATTAAGAGAACATGTATTCATTATTTTCTCAAAATGTATAGCTGAAGATTGGGTCTAAAGAGGCGGGGTATAGAGTGCCCTCTGTGGCGGTCCCGGATCTGCCTCTTGCTTCAACAATGTTTGGACGGAACAGACCCAGGGACACCCCTTCTTCCAGCCTCCGACCACCCTCCTGTGTCTTATCCAGTCACCACCTTCAGAACCACCTCTGGGACCAGCCAATACACTGGTGTGTGTTTCTTTTTGTTTTGTTTGGTTTGGTTTGGTTTGTTTTTTTTCCTACCTTAACTCCTTATTGGTGAACAACCATGAGCTCCCAAATTCGTCAGAATTATTCCACTGAGGGGGAGGCTGTGGTCAACCGCCTGGCCAACCTGCATCTGCGGGCCTCCTACACCTACCTCTCTCTGGGCTTCTATTTCGACTCTGATGATGTGGCTCTGGAGGGCGAGGGCCACTTCTTCCCTGAGTTGGCAGAGAAGAAGCTTGAGGGCAATGAGCATCCCTTAAAATTGCAAAACACGTGAGGTGGCCTCCTTCTCTTCCAGGACTTGCTGAGCCTTCCCAAGATGAGTGCGCAAAACTCAGGACGCCATGGAAGCCACCCTGAACTTGGCGAGGAACCTGAACCAGGCCCTTTTGGAGCTGCAGACCCTGGGTTCTACCCCACAGACCCTCAGCTCTGTGACTTCCTGGAGAACCACTTCCTGGATGAGGAGGTGAAACTCATCAAGAAGATGGGCAATTACCTGACTACCCTCCACAGGCTGGCTGGGCTGGGCTGGGCGAGTATCTCTTGGAAAGGTTCACTCTCAAGCACAACAAGGAGCCTTTGGAGCCCAGAGGCCTTTGAAGGCCCCTCTGCATTCCCCTGATGTCTGGCTTTTACCTGAGCCTCTCCCCAAAACTACTATCCATTCTTTTAACCACTCTGAAGCCCTCTCCCAGGCATTGGACCAAATGAAACAATAAAGCTTTTTGCAGGGAAAAAAAAAAAAAAGAGGCAGGGTGTAGTGATGGGGAACATAAAAATATCCTAAAATTATAAATGGATGAGCAATATAAAATATTACAGTGATAAGGCTATAGAGAAAATTTATCAACTAAGACACAGAGCTTTATCTGAAGAACACAGGAAGCCTTCAATATTTTGTTAACAATGTTTACAGAAAGTTGATAAAATTTCAGCCAATTCAGCATCAAAATATTCCATTTAATTTTGTGCAAAACCACGAGCATTAAATGTCTTCTCATATGTCACTTCAAATATGGTGCAGAATCAAGAAATATAAAACTTATAATTATATAACAATAGAAAAATAATAGAAAAACAATTAAATAAATATTTTTATTTAATCTATATAAAGCAAAGATTGCACTCATTTGTTGAATCAAAATATGCACAGTGCCTAGTGGAAGAACATGAAACATACAGGAAGAACATAAAACAGATACAGGAAGACCATGAAACAAATCATGTTATAAACGTGTTATTAGAATTAAACAATGATTAGTAATCAAGAGGTAAAACCAAACACTTTGCATCATAACTAGGGATTTATTGTAATTACATGTAAGTCCACTGGCTGACTCACATTTCAAACACAATTCCAGAATGTATCAAGTAAGGAATTGCTTGTCTCAAATTACGTGACCAGAACTGATATATTCCTAGAGGTTTAAGAGTATAGATAGAAAGATATAGAAAAAAACCAAAAGATGATTTCCAGTTCTACAGTTAACCATGACCTTCACCAAAACACTTTTCTCTAGGCCTTTTTCCTCATCTGTAAATGGTAATTCTTAGTTCTAAAAAGTCCATAGAAAGGGGAGGGGGGAATAGAATAGCATAAAAGGAAGGAAAGGAAAGGAAAGGAAAGGAAAGGAAAGGAAAGGAAAGGAAAGGAAAGGAAAGGAAACGGAAAGGAAAGGAAAGGAAAGGAAAGGAAAGGAAAGGAAAGGAAAGGAAAGAAAGGAAGGAAAGGAAAGGAAAGGAAAGGAAGAAAGAAAGAGAAAGAGAGAGAGAGAGAGAGAGAGAGAGAGAGAGAGAGAAAGGAAGGAAGGAAGGAAGGAAGGAAGGAAGGAAGGAAGGAAGGAAGGAAGAGAGAGAGAGAGAGAAAGAAAGAAAGAAAGAAAGAAAGAAAGAAAGAAAGAAAGAAAGAAAGAAAGAAAGAAAGGAAGGAAGAAAGGAGGGAGGAAGGAAGGGAGGGAAGGGAAGGGCAAGTCTTCTTTGGTCATCTCCTTGTTCTTAAATCATTCCATCCCTGCCCCAAACTCAAAGTCAAGCAATCCTGCCTACTCTCAAAGCCCTCCATCTCATATCTCCACGTCACCCTGAGTTCATCATCACTCATGCATTTTTCACCCAGTAGAGTCTAAGTCTGAGTAGACAGTAATTCTTCATATCTCCTAATTATTGGGGAGCTGGCAGCTGTTACGGTCTCAACAACATAGAAGGAATTCAGAGGAGCCTGTGCAGAGTGGGAAGCTGAAGTGCTCAAGGCACTGAGACCCTTTGAGGCGGGGCAGGGCTCAAGGTAATATGGCCTAGTTTTGATAGCGGCTAAACTTTTAGCACATTATGCCCGTGTACTCCACTCTGTACTCACAACATCCCTAGGAAGTGGGTACTGCTATCCTTCTCATTTTAAGATAGGGAAGCTTAGAGAAACTTGGCCAATGCCACCCAATTTTTAGGAGCAGAGGCTGAATTCGAACTCAGGACAAAAAAAAAAAAAAAAGCATGACATGCCCCCAACCTTATTAGACAAGAGAGTTGGTTGCAGGTGCAGGAAACTTGCCCTGCTGAGAAGCAAAGTTCATACCCGAGCGCGAGCGCGGGGCAGGCTGGAGGGGGCTGCTAGAATCCTGGCCTTAAGGGGGAGGGTCCCCTTAAGAAAGGGGGGCTTTTTCTCACCCGACAAAAAATAAGTCCCCAACTGGGAGGGGGCTCCCCGCGAGTGCCGCCGCTGAGGGCGAGGGCTGGGCAGATGGCAGAGGAGCAGGACAAAAGGCGGAGGGAGCAGCCGGCGGGCCGGCCGGGATCCGGGCAGGAGGGTTGGGAGCGAGTGCCGTCGGCGACGCCCGGGGAGTCCTGGACGTGGACCCGCCCGCTGGGATGGGACGAGCCGAGCCTGTCGAGCGCGGAGCTGTCGGCCCAGGGGAGCCAAGAGGCGGCGGGCCCCCGGGAGGGAGGGGCAGAGACTGACCCCGGGGAGGCGGCGGGGCCCGAGCCCCGAGAGACTCGGACGGTCGGGGCGGAGAGGAGGGGGATAGGGCACACTCTTCGCGACCGGGGGGCGGGGGAGATGGAGGTCTCGGCGGGAGGGGCGGCGGCGCGGCGGGCCGGAGCCCGCGGGGGGCAGAGAGGGTCCCGCACCGCTGCAGGAGAGCGGGAGTGGAGAGGAAGACCCGGGGGAGCCCGAGAGCAAAGGCGACGGAGCTGGACGACGGGGAGGACGGCTCGGTCTGGGAGCAGTACTGGGAGGGGACCCGGGAGCGCTACCGGAAGAGGGCGGCGAGGCACAAGTCCGGCAGCGCCCAGGAGGGCGAGTGGTGGTACCCGGTGGAGAAGAAGGCCAAGTTCCCGGAGATCGCGGGGCCGGAGCAGTCCCTGACGGGGTCGCTCTGGGACAGCCAGTCCCTCCGCGAGCGGAAGAGGGAGGCCCTGGCGGGTGAGTCCGCGGAGCAGCTGTTCCGGCGGCCCAAGCTCCGATTCAGTATCCAGTCCTCGAAGGCCGGCCGTCTCCCTTCGAACACCTCGTTCAGCATCATTAACGAGCTGGCGAAGATGGGCGACCCCGAGGTCCTGGAAGTGGTGAAGGAGGAAGGTAGGAGCCGGCCAAGGGGCGCGGGAGGAGGGTCGGGCTCTCGGGGGGACGTGGGCGTGCCCTGTGCAAGACGGGGGGCTGCAAAGACCCCGCCCTGGGTGGGTGGGCGCCCCATGATTTTCTCCGCGGCTCCTGCAAGCCCCGACCTAGTTCCCGCGACCCCCTGTGGTTCCAAGATCACCTTCCCTTTGCACCTCTGTGCGCCCAGGAGCCCGGGGGAAATGCTGGGAGGCGAGGTGAGCGCGCCGGGCGTGTGAGCTTAGGTGCCCAGGCACCCAGAACAGAGTCTCCTACAGAGAGCCATTGCTTAGGGTGCATGACCTCGGACGCTTGTATGGGTGCTTTTTTAAAAAAATATATCTTTATTGATTTCAGAGGGGAAGGGAGAGGAAAGAGAGATAGAAACAGCAATGATGAGAGAGAATCATGGATTGGCTGCCTCCCGCACATTCCCCCACCGGGGCTAAAGCCCGCAACGCAGGTATGTGCCCTTGGCTGGAATGGAACCTGGGACCCTTCAGTCCGCAGCTGACGCTCTATCCACTGAGCCAAACCAGCCAGGGCTGTGTGGGTGCTTTTGCCTCTATTCGCGGATGGCTGCTGGAGCTGTGAGATCCTGGTTAATTGTGGGAGAGGCAGGCCCTGAGGGTGGAGATTCTTAAGCATGCACTTAGAGCACCGCTGTACCACCAGCTCTCATTGAATCTTCGGTGGAGAAATTATTTGCTCATTGTTTGCTAAGGCCTTTGCGCAGACCCATACTCTGTGGATCTGTTTTACCTTGGTACACACCTTTTTCTAAAAAGTCACCTATTTTCTGGGACTATCTCCAATGACGCTAAGTTCCCTTGATAACACTCTGTTTTCTTGTCTTGTTTAGTGTTAGATCTAGACATGGACACAATCCTTTTAAGTAATAAGAGATCTATGCGGTCTTACTAGGTAGTCTTCAAAGGCACCAAGAAATGGAACGTATTATTGCATCTCCCTCCTCCACTTTCTTCACAGTTTTATTGATACAATGTATACACTATAAAAGTCATCCATTTAAAGTATGCAATTCCATGGTGTTTGGCATATTTACAGAGTTGTGCAGTCATCACCATAATCTAATTTTAGAACATTTCATCACCTCAAATAGAATCCTCTTAGTAGTCACTCCCCATCACCCGCCTTCCTCTTATTCTGTGTTCCCAGCCTATGGGCAGCCACGCATTTATTTACTATAAATTTATATAGCAAACATAATCTATAATAACAAAAGTGTAATGTGCTAATTAGACAGGATGTCCTTTCGGACGACCTTCTGGATGAAGCTGGGGCTTTGAGGGAAGCTGGGGTCCCGGGTGCCAGAAGGAAGCCGGTGCCGGCAGCCAGGGGAAGGAAGACCTACTCTTGCATGAATTGCAAGTGTGATCATGTAAACAGAATCATATGTTATGTGGTTGTTTGTAACTGGCTTCTTTTTCTTATCTTAATGATGTTGAAGTTCACCCATGTTGTAACCTATATCAGTGCATTATTCCTTTTTATTGCCAAATAATATTCCACATTTTATTCATTCATCAGTTGGTGAACATTCAGGTGGTTTTCACTTTTTTTTTGCTATCATGAATAATGCTATTATGAATGTTTATGTACAAGGTTTTGTATGACATTCTTTTTATTTTTTCGGTTATATACCTAGGAGTGGAATTGCTGGATCATGCAGTAGCTCTATAGTGTAAATTTTGAGAAACTACCAAACTATTCCAAGTGTCTGCATCATTTCATAATCCCACGAGCAATCTAATTGTTCCACATATTGGTACCCACTAGCATTTTTGTTATCTGTCTTAGCTATCACCATTCTAGTGTGTGTCAAATGGTATCTTAATGTGGTTTTGATTTGTATTATTTTCAGTGATTAATGTGTCAAATATCTTTTCCAGTGCTTACTAGCCACTCATATATCTTCTTTGGAGAAATGTCTATTCAAATTCTTTGCCATTTAAAAATTTAGTTATTTGTCATTTTATTATTGCATTGTAAAAGTTCTTTACATATTCTGTATATATGATTTTCAAATATTTTCCCTCATTCTCTGAGAAGCAACTACTCCCTTTTTAAGTCAAAAAATAATTTAAGGATAGAGGGAAATAAAACAATTGAAAACTTTTAGCTTTGACTAATGGCTTTTCTAAATGATGCAATATATTTATTTGTTAGGGAAAATGATTGGTGTTCAGTAATGCAAAAGAAATCAAATAATTTTCGAATGTATAAAATTGGGGGTCCCTACCTACCAGTATATTTATTTTTTAAATGTGTAAAATAATAAATAACTTAGAGGTCCCTATATTTATTGAATGATTTTCTCCTTTGCTGAGAATTACTTTTTGTTGTAATTCCAGTAATTCGAAGGTCTTAATAGATATTTTTTTAGCTTGAAGCATTCAGTAATTCCTTATAATCAGTCCTTCTGAAGTAAAGCTATGAGAAAGTACAACAATATGTCCTTCATTGAAGGCATGGAGGAAAAATGTGAAGTATATAACTATATATAATTTAAAAAATCAATATGGCATTGCAGAGATTGACCATTATTATCTTTCCAATATTAGAAGTGTGATCTACTTTAGCCTCAGGATAACTTTGCTACTAGAATGTCATGGTGCAGCTTGACTCTGTCCCAGGAAGGTTTTAGAACTTTTCCAAAAAGAATTTCAGTTTTCCTTTTCTTTCTTTTTTTCTTTTTTTTTGGGGGGGGGGGGCAAAGGCCGTTGTAATATATTTATATTTCCTCTCATTGTGATTAAAGCTTTGCCTCCAATTTGGGTGGAGATAGAAGAGGATATTGATATGGAATACCATATACACTTGATGGTTGATTCTGATGACTGCGCCTGCCCAAATTCCTGTTGACTGTTTTGTTTATAGATCCAGAATCCAAGTACAGGAGTGTGTGAATTGGTGAGGTCCAGGCCACTCGAATGACACTTATTTTTCTAAATGTTTTTCAATATGCGAATTATCTTGCTGGGTTGGCTTTACTTCTCATTATTAAGACCTCTTTTATTACTAGGGTTGTATGAAAAGTGCATTTCAGTGAGGATGTATTTTAAAATTTTTAAATTACAGTTTACATTCAATATTATTTTGTATTAGTTTTAGGTTTACAGCATAGTGGTTAGATAGCCATATATTTTACAAAGTGTTCCCCCTGATATTTCCAATACTTGGCACCATATATAGTTATTACAATATTATTGACTATATTTTCTTTATATCCCCATGACCATTTTGTAACCACCAATCTATATTTCTCAATCCCTTCACCTTTTTCACTCAGTCCCCTAACCTCCCTTGCTTCTGGCAACCATAAGTTTGTCCTCTGTATCTATGAGTCTTCTGTTTTGTTTGTTCATTTAGTTTGTTCTTTAGATTCCACATATAAGTGAATCATACAATAGTTGTCTTTGTCTGATTTATTCACTTAGCAAAATACCCTCTAAGTCCATCCATGTTTTCGCAAATGGCAAGATGTCATTCTTTATTGTGGCTAAGTAATATTCCATTGTATATATGTACCCACATTTTTATCTACTCGTCTCTTGATGGGCACTTTGGTTGCTTCTGTAATGTGGCTATCATAGATAGTGCTGCAATGAACATAAGGGTGCATATGTTCTTTCAAATCAGTGTGTGTTTTTTTGATATATACCCAGAAGTGGAAACCTGGATCATAAGGCAGTTCCATTTATAAATGTTTGAGGAACCTCCATATTGTTTTCCATAGTGGCTGCACCAATCTACATTTCTTCCAACAGTGCATGAGGACTCCCTTTTTTTCCACATCCTTGCCAACACTTGTTGGTTTATTTTTTTAAAATATATTTTTATTGCTTTCGGAGAAGAGGAAAGTGGGGGAGGGAGAATGATATCAATGATGGGAGTGAATCATACATAGATTGGCTGTCTCCTGCACACCCCACACTGGGGATCAAGCCTGTAAACTGGGCATGTGCCTGACCTGGAATGGAACCATGACTTCCTGGTTCAGAGGTGAATGCTCAACCACTGAGCCACACGGGCGGGGTGGAAAAGACAGTTTTAAAGTTGAATGTAGAGTTGCTTGCATCTTTACAACCATGTTAAACATTGTATTTAACCAAACCATCTATCATTTGATAATATGAATATTTGATTGCATATATAGTTGATCCTTGAACAACATGGGTTTGAACTGTGTAGGTTCACTTATGAGTGGATACATTTCAATAAATATTGCCAATGTATTTTCCTTATGATTTTCCTAATATTTTCTTTCTGTTTTCTTAATCCTCCTATATACTAAAAAGCTAATATGCAAATCGACCGACGGCAGAATGACTGGTCGCTATGACACACACTGACCACTAGGGGGCAGATGATCAATGCAGGAGCTGTTCCCTGGTGGTCAATGTGCTCCCACAGGGGGAGCGCAGCTCAGCCAGAAGCCAGGCTGACGCTGGCAAGTGCAGTGGCGGTGGTGAGAGCCTCTCCCGCCTCCACAACAGCACTAAGGATGTCCAACTGATGGCTTAGGCCCGACCCCCTCAGGAATCGGGCCTAAGCCGTCAGTTGGACATCCACTGAGGGCTCCCAGACTGCAAGAGGACGCAGGGCTGGCTGAGGAACACTCCCCCCCTCGTGCACCGGGCCTCTAGTACAAAATATGTGTTAATCAACTGTGACAGGCTTTCTGTCAGCAGTAGGTTATTAGTAGTTAAATTTTTGAAGAGTCAAAAGTTATACAAAGACTTTTGGCTATGGGGGGGTGGGTGTCAGTGCCTTTAATCCCTGTGTGGATCAAGTGTATTTTTATTTAACGCAGCTGGAAGGAGTGTAAACTGAGAAGATCATTTGGTAAATGCAGGTGCTATTTTTGGGCTCTGGGTTTGCTGGAGTGTGTATTCTTAGTAATGTGCTTTCAGCAAAAACTTAGAGCTCTAGAGCTCAGTCTTTGGGGTGACTTTACTTTTAACTCATATTTTATGATACTTCACAATGATATAAGCCCTTTATGTCTCTGGTTTCTAGCACATTAGAAAGAACATAGTCATTTCCATTCATTTTAGAGGCAGTTGACAAAAAGCTGATTGAGAGTTGTTGGGTTCAAATCCTGACTCTTCAGATAGGCCTCTGTTTTGACAGGGGTTTGGTGATTATGCATTATGCATAGTTATTACATTCTATAGTCTGTGAGTTAGTGTGGAAGTGTGTCTGGGTCTATGGCATGTGCGAATATCTGATTTTGTGTGTGTGTGAGCACTATGTGTAAGAAGGAGCATATAGTCTGAGGTAATACACCTTTCCTCTTTAATCTTTGTGTTCCATCTGGCTCTCAGGTAGCTTTCAGTCTTGTGGAGGAAAGAGTAATTGGGATAGGTTCCAGAGAGGACTACATTCAGGTGGTGTGGGAGAGGTAGGAGGCTAATCCAGGGGACAGATGAGGAGGTTTCTGGCAAGGCCTGAAAGGAACATATCAAAACTGTTATAATGTGAAAAATTAGCAAGAGTTAGCCTAGTCCAGTGGTCGGCAAACTGCGGCTCGCGAGCCACATGCGGCTCTTTGGCCCCTTGAGTGTGGCTCTTCCACAAAATACCACGTACGGCGCGCACGTACAGTGGAATTGAAACTTCGTGCCCATGCCGCAGAAGTTGTATTTGTGGAAGAGCACA